TGTGGACAGAGTGAGGACAAGCAGTCAGACGGGGCAAGGAGCAGCCACACGTAAGAAGATGCTCTGCCCCCTCCCAGCACCACACCCCTCTGCCAGGCCCAGGCACAACCATAGACAGAGAGGGACCTGCCGTGGCAGGTCCGTCTCCTGCAGGTCTGGAACTGAGTGTCCAGTGTTCTCTGAGCCTCGAACCTCAGCTCCTCAGGGCCAGGGCTCTGCTTTGTCCTGAGTGGCTTTCAAGGCTTTCTGCCCTGAATCCCAGGCGGAGCCCAGCCACCCACTGGGCCACTGCCCCATGCTGTCTGACATGTCCTGCCTGCCTGACCCCCAGGCCCTGTGGGCACCTGCAGGCTGTCTTTCCTCCATACTCCGACCCCACAGGCCAGCCAGCCGAGCAGAGACAAGCACCCACAAATCCCTCTGTAGGACAGGTGCAGATGGGATTGGTCCCAGAGGCACCCCACCCAGGAGCACACCTTTGCCCCCAAGGAAAGGAGCTTGCTGTTTCCACCAGCCAGGCACTGACCCAAGGCTCCACCAGCACAGAGAACGTTCCTTGCCCATGAGTCCCCAGAATCACAGGTCTCCTGGCATCTGAGTACAAGTGGTCCCCAACTTATAACGTATCTGAGTTAGGACAAACCACACTTACAACTGTCTTTTTTATTTTTGGTACCTAGGACACTATGTGTTGGAATCAACTCGAGAACAGTGGGTTTGATTTTGGTTACCATTAGTAGTATGCACTACATACGAAGTTGCAGCATGTAATTCGCTGATGTTATCACTCGCTGATGTTCACTCACAGATATTCAATTTTATGATTTACTGTCCAAAACACTGCCATATATATTTAGTTTTCTAAACTAAATCAGGAGCTTCAGTTGCTTTGAGAACATGGACCCAAACACTGATTGCTTTGCTGAAGTCAATGGGCACATTCAGGAAGCAGTGAGATGTTACTGTGAAATATATGAAAAAGAAAAGAAAAGGACCATACAGACAACTGTCACTAATTTTCTGACTAGAAACACCATGCCATTCCCAAGGATAATCCAGATGATCCAGAACCTTCCACAAGTGGAGTTTTTACCACAACTGGCAAAATGCCAATGTCATCCAACTCTTCTTCATCAGAGTAAATTTTTATGATTTGTGTATTATATGTGTGTGTGTGTATGTATGTATTAAAATATACCTGTAAGTGTCCTAGTTACCTAGAGCTGCTGTAACAGAAATACCACAAGCGGATGGCTTTAACAAACCGAAGTTTATTATCTCACAGTCTAGGAGGCTAGAAGTCTGAATTCAGGGCGCCAACTCCAGGGAAGTTTTTCTCTCTCTGTCGGCTCTGGAGAAAGGCCCTTGTCATCAATCTTCCCCTGGTCTAGAAGCTTCTCAGCACAGGGACCCCAAGTCTAAAGGACACAGGCTCCACTCCTGACTTTTCTTGCTTGGTGGTAGAAGGTCCTTCTCCTCTCTGCTCTCTTCTCTCTTTTATATCTCAAAAGGGATTGACTCAAAACACAGTCTAATCGTGTAGATTATGTCCTGCCTCGTTAACATAACTGCCTCTAATCCTGCCTGATTAACATCATAGAGGTTAGGATTTACAGCACATAGGATAATCACATCAGATCATAAAATGGCGGACAATCATACAATACTGGGAATCATGGCCTAGCCAAGCTGACACACATTTTTTGGGGACACAATTCAATCTATAACAGTAAGTTTATATGTAATGTTTCCAAACCCCAAAGACAAATAAAGATCGGATTTATAAAAGATACTGATAATAAAAAGCAATAATAATGAAAACTAAAAAAAAAAAAAAAAAAAAGGTATTGGACTTAACTTCAGAAGTGACTTACTACTTACAACAGCAAATGGAACCCTGTCATAGGTCAGAACTACCTGTAACAAAGTGTTTCATCTGCAACCACTTTGCTCAGGTAGAGCAAGGTCACTGTACGCTCCATCCACCTTCGTCCCTGCTGACCCCTGGGCGGAAAGTGACCCCCTTCTCATCTGGATGGACTGCTGCATTCTTTGAACCCCACTCATGGCCACGCCTTCCATTGACAGGGCAGTGTTGAGGATACCAAACACCACTTCTGCTAGCTCTGCTCTGCTTGCCCCACCAGCCCTGCACGGCCTTTTTATCCTGACACGAGGGAGAGACAGAGGAAGGAGCAGAAACAAGAAGCGAGACGGGAGAACTGGTGAGCAAGAGCTAGGCTGGGCAGGTCCAAGCCCAGGTGAGTGGGAACCTGGGGTGCAGTTCTCCCAAGAGAGGTGAGCCCAGGACGACCGTGTTGGGAGGGACAGTAGCCCAGTACCCCATGCATCAATCCATCGTTCTGCGGACGTGGCCTCACACGCCACCTGAAACGCAGCAGCAGCATACAGATGTACAATGCAGACACGAATTCCAGCCTCCTCCTCGCAGGCCCATGAGTGGATTAAAGATACAGAGCAGATGGAAGAAGCGGAGGCCTGTCTCTGCTGGGCGTTAGGGTATCGGGCCTCCTGCCCATCCTCAAGGAACCTCAGTAACTGTCTCTTTTCTTCTGCAGACTCCTGCGTGCTTTCTCCCAGATCTTTTTTTCCTTCCCCACCCTCTTTTGCTTTTAATCCACACAAGACACCCTTAGTACCCATGTTCCTCCCACTGGAACCCTGTTCAGCATCTTTGAGCTTTTCAGTTGCTATTCTTTCCTCCCCACTCCTACCCTTTGCCTCCCTGCCTGCCTGCCTCCCCACCTGGTATGAGGGATATACCTAAAGGTTGTTCTTTTTCATGAATAAGGAAAATAAAGTGGATCTCCCACCCATCCTCTCTCTGCTCAGCAGCATAAAACCCTTACCAGGTGTGTGAGCACCGTCTTCATAAATCCAGCCCTGCCTTTGCCAGCCCCAGGGAAAATATTTCTTTAATATGCCGAGTGATAACGGAGATGCTGTTAATTATAGCCCAAAGTCATGAAACACACACTGATTAAGACAGTGGATTTGGAAGCCCAGATAAGGGATCCCAAACCGCAGACAACACCAGAGGTGGGAACATGGAGGGAGTCGCTCAGGGCTTTGCTGCGGACACGGTTGCCGTCAGTCAAGTATGTTTACTCTCTCTGACCTTGATTTGCATTCCTGCAGCATCGGGTTCACAAGAGGAGCAAAACCACCTCCCTGGAGCCAGCTCCACACACACCCACGGACCACCAGAAGGGCAGACAGGGCCGGCTCTTCGCCAGCCCCCAGCCTCGTGCCCTGCCCTCACCCCAAGCCACCCTGTCCTCTCCCACCCCTGGCCTTCACTCCTCCTGTTCTGAGGGACCCACGCTCTGCCTCTTCTCAGCCTCTGCAGTCCAGCTCAGCTGCCATCAGTTCCAGGAAGTCCTCCAGGCCTCTGCAGGCAGGAAACAACCACCCAGTGCCCCCTCCTCTTTGCTGCCAGCTCGCGTTCCTTTATCGGTGGGCTGGCAATCTACACATCTCACTGTCTCCCCTTTCAGCTGTGACATAGCACCTGCCCCAGAAGACAGAGAGCACTGCTACACCCCCTAAACCCCAGCCCTGACCAGGCCAGATGATACTGACCAAGGATCTCGGAATATGCTCCTTGCTTTTGGCCCAAATGGTCACGGAGTGTCCCCGTGGGTGCTGTGACACCCAGAAGTTACCAGACTCTCTGGGGAGGGAGCTGGTGTCCCCTGGCTCCACACCACAGTGTGGAAAACGGGTACACTTTGATCTTTACCCCCTCTCCCCTTAAAGTAATTCCAACTGTTCAAGGAAAACCAAGAGTGAGCTTTGGAGTTGATGTCAAGACTTCAGATTTTTGGAGCTGCGTATCAAATTTCCATACGTTTGCATAAAATATTCAAATACTCTAGAGCTGCTGTGAGTATCAGAGGAGGTGGAAGAGGCAGGAAGAAAGCTCCCTGGAGCCTTCAGAGGGAGCCCAGCCCTGCTGACACCTTGATTTCAGACTTCTGGCTTCCAGAACTGTGAGATAATATACTTCTGTTCTCATAAGTTGCCCAGTTTGTGGTAATTTCTTCTGGCAGCCGTAGGAGACCAATACAGCACCTAATATGCCAGGGTCGCCGCGATGGTTTAAGGCCCAGTTGGACATCAACACAGGCTGGGGCTTACCAGAAGCCAGTGAGAAAACAGCAGCCTTCCCCGATGCCGGAGCGCTGGGCTCTGGAGCCAGGCAGCCAGGCACAAGTCCTAACCTCCCTGTATTAGTCTCTTGTGATTGCCGTAGCCAAGTACCACGCATGGGGCAGCTTTGAACAGCAGGCGTTTATTCTCTCACAGTTCTGGAAGCCACAAGTCTGGAATCAAGATGGCGACAGGCCATGCTCCTTCTGAAGGCTCTCAGGGAAGATCTGTTCTAACCTCCTTCCCAGCTTCTGGTGTTGCTGACAATTCTTGGCATTTCTTGACTTGTACATGCATCGCTCCAACCTCTGCCTCTATCTTCACATGGCTGTCTTCCCTCTGTGTCTCATGTCTTCTCGTATAAGGATACCAGTCATGTTGGGTTCAGACCCACCCTAGTTCAGTTTGACCTTATTCTCCTAGCGCTGCTGTAACAGAAATACCACAAGTTGGGCTTCATTGAACAGAAATTTATCTTCTCACTTTAGGAGGTTAGAAGTGCAAGTTCAGGGCACCAGGTCTAAGGGAAGGCTCTCCCTGTTTGGCTCTGGGGGAAAATCCTTATCTCTTTCAGCTTCAACTCATCAGTTCCTTGATGATCTCCATGTGGCATCAGTCTTCCCCTATTTGTGCTTGCTTGCTTCTGTGCCTGAAAAACAAAAAAACTAAACCCATTCCCGTCGAGTCGATTCTGACTCACAGCGACACTATAGGACAGAGTAGAACTGCCCCATAGAGTTTCCAAGGAGCAGCTGGTGGATTCAAACTGCCTGTCTTTTGGTTAGCAGCCAAGCTCTTAACCACTGTGCCACCAGGGCTCCAACAAATGACCACAAAGGGACTCGAACCCTCAATCTTCTGGGCCAGAATCAGGCACCTTATCCATTAGGCCATGTGGCCAATACTGCTCCTTTTATATCTCAGAAGGGATTGGCTTAAGACGTGACCTACACTGACATGGCCTCATTAACATCATAAAGAAAACCCATCCCCAAATAGGATTATATCCACTGGTATAGGGGTTAGAATTTATAACACGTATTTAGGGGGACACAATTCAATCCACAACAGAACTCAGGCTAGCTTAACTGGTAGCATCTGCAAAGACCCTATTTCCAAACAATGTCACGTTCACAGGTACAGGGGCTAGAACTTGAGCACATCTTTTTGGGGGACAATGTTCATCCACCACACCCTCTGACCCTGAACACCGGGCTGCGTGAGGCCGAAATGCCAGCAGGAGTTGAAAGTGCTATCATAGCACCTGATGCCCATGCATGCTCAGTTAGTGACAGCTGCTGTCACCAAGGATTTACAAAACAGAACCAGGGGTGGGGGGGTGGGGGTGGAGGGAAAGTCTGCAGGCAGTGTGAGGACAGCCAAGAGCAGGCTCGACTGACGGCCAGCTCAATACGCCAGAGAATGCCCAGGACATAAATCAAACCAGTGCCAATCAAGTGATCGGAGAGCCCAGCCAGCCTGTTTAGTATTGATAAACGGCTCATTAAAATGAAACTTTGCTCCATTTAGCTTTTCTTATTGCCAATTAGCAGTAATGCCTCCACCACACTCTAGACGATTGTAAATTAGTGGTTATCTATTTTCTGAGACAAGCATGGCACAGGGGCTTCCAGGGGGTAGCTCCACGCTGACCACCAGAACTTTGCAGAACCCCACTCACAGGGTGGACAGACCTGGGAAACAGCAGAGCCCTCGGGCACAAGGCGGCAGGCACAGCAATATCCGCAAATCCTCAAACCCTGTGCAATGGGAGACGCCAAGCTGCTGGAGGCACATTACGTGCTGAGGCCCTGCACTCGGCTGTGTTTTAAGCAAGCCACCAACTCCCATCTCTCTCCCAGGTGATGAATGGTGGCACGCTTATGTCACAAACTAAACAATGGAATTGTGCTACCATGAGTTATGGGGGAAATAAAGCCATCTTTTTCCTGGCCCAAACAGATAGCTGGAGTTATGGCAGGGCATTAAGCATCCTCTGCAAGGCAGAAATACATTGATTTTTGTTTAATGCATCAGGCTGTTTACATGCTTGGTTCCCGGAAAAACTGAACAAAAAATAAGTAACATCCCTTCTTGCATCCCGTTCACTGAGTGGCCTCCTGGGAGTGTCTCCTGGTCCTGGGAGTGATGTAAGATGCCCCCCGGGACTGGACGAGCAGTTGGACACACCTGGGTCCTGGGTCTGGTTCTCTACTCCAGCTCTGATAGGTGAGCCACCAGCCAAAGTCAAGTCATCTCTGGAAGCCTCAGTTTCCACATCTGTGCAATGGGGCTGTAGTAGATCGAAAGGACTCAGGTGAGATGAAAGCCCTATGTGTTGGTGCTCCCTGGTCAACAGGGAAGGTTGCAGACCTGCAAGGAGGCACCACACACCCAAATCAGAGCCTCGGGAGAGCAACTCTTCCACAACCCTGTCTTCCCAACACATGGATGTCCTGTGGGTGCCCATGTCCACCCAAAGTCTGCATTCATGCTTGTGCACACCCACAAGCACACACAGGCATCTGTGGACACAGATGTGTATGTGTGCTTGAACATACAGTGCAACATGAGGACAAGCGTGTGTGCGTGTGGTGCACATGTTAGGACAGGTGTGTGATCACACAATGAACACACAAAGACAGGTTTGTGTGCACACAGGGGTATATAGATGTGCATGTATATGTGTGCACATGGTGCATATGTGAGTACAGATGTGTGCGTGTGTGGTGCACACATAAAGACAGGTATGTGAGCATGTGGTACACATAGAGATAGGTTGTGAGCATGTGGTGCACACGTGAGGACAGGTGTGTGAGCATGTGGTGCACACGTGAGGACAGGTGTGTGAGCATGTGGTGCACACGTGAGGACAGGTGTGTGAGCATGTGGTGCACACATGAGGACAGGTGTATGCACATGTGGTGCACACATGAGGGCAGATGTGTGAGCATGTGGTGCACACATGAGTACAGGTGTGTGAGCATAGGTGCACTCATGAGGACAGATGTGTGAGCATGTGGTGCACACATAAGGACAGGTGTGTAAGCACAGATGCACACATGAGGACAGGAGTATTAATACACAGGGATGCATACATACTGAGATGCTCTTGCTCTTCAGTTCCCACAGCCCCTCACTCATCCCCCGATAACAGGATCTGGCCTCATGCTGCCCAGGGCCTCCTTATAGGAGGTGAAGGGGGTGAAGATGCTGCACTATGGCCTTCGAAGACGGAGGAAAGGGTCACAAGCCAACAAAGCAAGCCAGGCAGTTCTAGAAGCTGGAAAGACAAGGGACCAGATTCACCCTCAGAGCTTCCGGGGGAAGCACAGACCTGCTGACACCATGCCTTCGGCTCAGTGAAACAAGTTTGAACATCTGGCTTCCAGAACTGTTAGTACCTACAATGTGGCTGCAGGCCAGCACCAACCCAGTGCCTCAGAGCATGGTGTGAGCACCGTCTTCACAGGGGCCCCAGCGGCTGACCTCCTGGGGCCTCAGCAAGCACTCAGTGAAAGGTCAGGGTCAAGGTGGGCACAAACTTCATGCCCATGTACCTGCTTCTGACCCCACAGCGGTGCTCTGGACAACACCCAGCCCTGTGGACTGCCCCCAAGGCCAAGGGATCCCCCTGCAGCTCCCAGAGAGTGCATGACCTGATGGAGCCTCCCAGGTGTGATGGGCCCTCCCCACCCCAGAGCCCTTCGGAAAGGGTGGTTGGGAGCAAGAGGGCACGCCCAAGCCCAGGTCCCCAAAGGCTCAGCTGGCACAACGGCCCACACCAGTCTTTCTGTCCTCAGATGGAGAACCCTCTGGGGGCCTGGGCACTTTTGTGAGCCAGATCTGGAGCCAGAACTTGAGTGGAAGCCTTGGCTAGAGCTTCCGCCTTATTTTGAGCCTTGGCTTTGGGCTTTGGCCAGGAAAGCCTAGACCCTTGGCAATGTGGGCCCGAGCACCCTTCCCAAGCTTGGTATGGGCGATGTAGGTGAGTTGACTGAGTCGCTTGGGACCTTGGACTTGACCTGTTTGGGCTTTCAAGAGCCTTGACAGCCTCGGCACGTGCATCCATGGTCTTGACATTTTTACCCTGCATCTTCTTCAGGCCCTTCTTGTTGTGCTTCTTGGCAAAGCACACGTTCCTCAGGAACATGTGGTCCACCCTTTAAGAGATTCATATCATTGTGATTGGGGTTTCTTGGTGCCATTTCTGTGTCATTTTTGGGATTGGTTACGCGTGCCGTGGTTCTTGGACTCAGCCACGTTTGCATCATGTCCTGAAGCTCTGGAACTCCAGGGATCAGAAGAGATAGAGCCAGGCTCTGTTCTTATTCAGACTGTAACCCATCTTCCATTCCAGCGTGTGGCTGCATCTCTTCCACTTTCAGGGAAACATGCAGCTGGCCCCAAGCCCATCACCGCTGAGCCCAGGAGGACCTGGATCTTTTGTCTCAACAAGATGACAAGGCCTTTCCAGAATAGCTGGTGTGCAGGGCCATCTCAGCTCCCAGCCCAGGCCTGTTAGCCTATCCAAGAGTGAAATCAGGACCCAGTCACCTCAGCACCCATCCTGCCATGCAGGCCCCTCAATCCTAGGCACATAGAGTGGCCCGGGGCAGGGTAGAGGGACCAGACAGGCCAAGGCGACAGTAAACAGCTCCTGAACCAGGTTAGATGTGGCACCCACCAATTCTGTCATCAGGCTCTGCTCAAAGCTGCCTCTGGACATTCTATCCAATTATTTAAATCCCAGCCTCCGTGCTCGGCCATGAAGATTGGACAGGATTGGACATTTATTAGCTAACTGAAGGGCTATAATAAGATAGCAAATCCAAAGGAGCAGAAAATTAAATGTTCTTGAGTTATCTTATTGAAATTTCCCTTCTACAGCTTTTATTGGAGGCAACAGCACCAGAATTTCAAAGATACATTTTAAGAGACTGCTTTATGGGGTTACCCAGCAAAAGCAGAAGCCATCAAAATGAACCCAGTAAGCTAGACTTCAGGAGGGCTACCTCTGGGCCAGGCAACAGCTCTGGCCCCGGGCTCCTCAAGGCTTGGCTCCTCCCTGGTCCTCAGGGAGATCCGGATGGCTCTGCTGATGCAGACATCATATTTTATTGGGAGAGTTCACTCTGTTGTTCACTGAATTTTGATTATTTATTATCATAAGGAGATATATTGATTTCATAAGAAAGGCAGGGAGAATAAACCACAAAATGAAGCTGCTGTCAAAGGCCTTGGCCCAGGCTTCCTTCCAGAGAGCAAGGAGTCCGCTGAAGCACAAATGCCCATTCCAATGTAGACATATCGAGGTCATTAAAGGGAGCTGTCTACGAGCTCCCGAGATGGAAGACGCCGTCACTGCCAGGAGCAGGGCCGGCAGGTGAGGTCGGAGCTAGTCAGAGAGCACCAGGCAGAGGGACTGTTGAGGCCAGCCCAGGAGGTGGTCCTCCTTGGTGGACAGAGATTCCTTGTGCAGGAAGGAAGGAAGGATGCCCCCTGCCGGGCTCCCTCACCCCCACGTTGCCCTTCCTAGAAAATATAACCCTACCCCATGACTACTTTATTTTCCCTCTAGATGGTGGGGGTGTTAGAAATAGCTATGGCAACCTAGCTTCCTTGCTCCCACAAGCAAAGAGGATCCATTTGATTTAAGAGAAAACATTCTATAGCTAGTAACACAACACAAATTTAGGGATTGGAGACAATGTGTTTCCCAAATGCCCGAGTTCTTGAGCTGTTTACTGTGATGGAAATGGAGGCGATGTTGGGGGAAGATCATCCTCCTGTTCTGGGTCCAAGTGTCTGTGGAAGAGCCTGGAGATGGAGTTCAGGTGGCACCTGGGGTGACAGACCAGCAAGGTGTGAACCCCATGATGGCAGATGCGTCTCATGTG